AGTGATAAAAATTGGATTAGAGGCAATAGAAGGTTGGAGCTGGATAGCGCTGGAGAGCAACTGCAACGGTATTGACGCGCATTGTAGCGCGTCGCCGCTAAGCTTGAACGCAGCCTCCCTGACACGCCCCATCTGCCAATCTTCAAACTGTTGTAAATAAATACTGACAGGAATCTTACATCAATTGTACCAAGGTCGAGTTCATTATTGGCAAAAACCGCTCGAGGATTAACTCTTGGTGCTGAACCGATACCAGAACAAGCCTGTAACAGTTTCATGGTAAACGTGGTACGCACGTAGTAATAGCAGCCAAATTCAAATGTCACGTGATAAAGGTAACTTCTAAAAAAATACCTTTCGAGCGTTGTCATAGATTCGACGAAGGGTTTCGGCATGAATACATCTTCGCTTAGTCAATGACCAACCCCACGCGACGGAACCACGCCGAAGCAATGTAATCATGTGTTGTACAAAACAGCCTTCAACGTGACATTTGAATTTGGCTGCTATTACTACGTGCGTACCACGTTTACCATGAAACTGTTACAGGCTTGTTCTGGTATCGGTTCAGCACCAAGAGTTAATCCTCGAGCGGTTTTTGCCAATAATGAACTCGACCTTGGTACAATTGATGTAAGATTCCTGTCAGTATTTATTTACAACAGTTTGAAGATTGGCAGATGGGGCGTCTCAGGGAGGCTGCGTTCAAGCTTAGCGGCGACGCGCTACAATGCGCGTCAATACCGTTGCAGTTGCTCTCCAGCGCTATCCAGCTCCAACCTATTGCCTAATCCAATTTTTATCATTTTTTTTTCGAAGTATTCCAGAGTGTTCTCTATTCAGAACAAATTCACCACTTTAGGGTTCAAATTCACCACACTTCCTCCACCGGACAGTTAATTTAGTCAGGTCGCACTAGGTAACACCTCGAGTCCCGCCCGACAGCCACTCCCACTTTTCAGCGTTGTTCAAACTCTATTGTTCAAACTTTATAAATTCTGCTTCTGTTATCTTTTTTTCATTGTTGCTAATTCTCACTCAAAAGAGCAACGTTTATGGGATGCGTGGAGTAACCGTCTGCGTCGTTTTGCATATTGCATGAGTTCCTGATGATTGGAGGAGAATACTTTTTATTTTTCTTGCTTATTAACATACGCTTCCCAGGTCTACGGCTTTGACTACGATTACACTCTTGCTGTTTACACTCGACATCTAAATGCGCTTATCTACAAATTGGCCCTACACCGCCTCATATCGCAGTTCAAGGTGTCCATTTGTTTTTCTTGATTTTGGTCTTACTATCTTATCTAATTGGTAACTTGCTGATGAACTGCGTTTTCCAGTATCCCGAAAATATACTGTATGTACCTTATGACAGTGAATTTGCAATTCGTGGTTTGCACTTTGATGTAGAAAGTTCTTGTCTTTTGAAAGTTGACGCTTTTTTACAAATTCAGAATGGTTAGTTTTGTCAGCTTGCATCCTTCGCTTTGAAAAAGATTTTTCCTGTGATTTCTGAACATGTCCTGCTTTAAGGATCCGTGTACAAAGGAAAAAGAAGGTTAGCCGACAGTGAAGTGAAGAGGCTGTTCCCACGACTCTCTCTTTCTAACATCGACGGTACATCTATCTTATTTGTTGACTTGTTGATGACTGATGCTACTAGAGCGAGGAAAACCTCCATGCTTCGGGAGAACCAGTCTGTAGTATAGTTTGAGCGCTTTAGTAATCTGCTATCTCAAAGAGGGGCGAGGTAAGAGGAAGAAAACATCGACGTGGGTGACCTCATCGTACACCTCACACTTTCTCCCAAATATAGGATGTTTACTCACACAAACTCCTCCCGCCCTCAGAAGTGTGTGCTACTATTACCGCTGATGAACAAAGATTTTTAGGAGAGCTCGTCGCAATCAGTCTAAACGAGGGAAGGGGTCAGAACAGAACGAAGATATCCTGTCGGTGATAAGCCTATAAGCCTACAGGGGCTCCCCGTGTGGTGCACGCGACAGTGTGGGCGAGCGAGCTCGAATAAAAAAAATATGTTGGGAATGGTTGTTTCGCAGATGCTAGAATAACTTTTTCAAAACCTCATGTGTCATGGCGTGTCTCCACCGTACCAGTAAGCTCAAACGCGTAAACTGCACCGCCACCGCCGAAGACGGAAGCCTTTTCTGCCGTTGGTGATCGCTTAGTGATCGGTTCAGGGAGAAAGCAACCAGTGGGCGAAAAAGCCGTAAATCGACTCATTCCCTACCTTCTGACACCGCCCCGACTGATTGCTACCATACAAACTGGATGAACCAGGTGGTGCTGAAACCTTAGACCGCGCAGTTCGCGTTCCGAAATTTATCACAAGAATGCTGGCGGGAGTCGAACCTGCACCTCACGCTTTCCGGCTACCCTTTACCACCAGGGCCGCTTTTACCCTCTCAGCTCAACGGCTTTTATGCCGTAGCCTTACAGCACTCACACGTTTAACTTGGTGAGCCGGTCAGCCGTAATCGTTAGATATCGGCAATGAACCGCTTGCCCGAAGGCTTTACAAGTTTTTGAAGCTGTAACCATGTTAAACGTGTGAGGTTGTAAGGTCGCGGCATAAACTCGTTAAGCTGAGAGGGTAAAAGCGGCCCTGGTGGCGTAACGGATAGCGCACTCGCCCGGAAAGCGTGAGGTGCGGGTTCGACTCGGAGTTCGACTTTTGCCCATAACTCAGCATTCTTGTGTTAACTTAGACCGAGTATTTGTTCAGTGGTTCAGTTGATGTGAGAATACGATAAAGAGAGAGAGAGAGAGAGAGAGAGAATAAACAAGCCTTTATCTTGCAAAGCACAATAGGTAACTGCCCGATTAAGCGGGTACCCTCTTGACAGTCTGGTAGTCCTTTGCCCCGCCAGCGAAGCTTGGATTTGAAGAGCATCATCGGTGAAGGTGATATCTCGAGAGAAGCAAGAATGCCTAGGTAACTTCAATTCACTTAATTAATTACAAACTAATGATTTGTGGTCACTCTAAAGCTGCCGCCCAATGTTTTTGAGTTGTGAGAATCCCATAGTGTGACTGACTGATTGTTTTAACAGGGCGCCAGGTGCCGCAACTGGTGGATTTCTTTTCCCTACCTTGGGCAGGTCTACTTTCTACTGTAGTGCACTACTGTGACCTTCACCATATCGTATTTGACCCAAAATGTTTATTTGATGATTTGGAGGTGAGTCGTTTTCTGTGAGTAGGTATACTGCTCTTTCATGGCAACGCCTGCTTTTTTGTAGGAGTGTGTGAAACAAGTTCATACCAGTGGTGAGATGTACCGTGCAGTCTGTGATAATCTGGAACACTACATGCATCGCAATGAAGGCCTTAAAGAATATTTAGACTTATTACATTCGAACAACAAGGAGCTATTTGTTGTGACCAACAGCCCTTTCCCGTTTATGTAAGTTACGTGATTTTCCTGTTTTCATTCGAGTACCGAATTCGATCGTTCCTTTAGAAATGTTGGAATGACGTATATGTTAGGTGAGGATTGGCGGAAATACTTCAAGTATATAGTTGTGTTGGCGAAAAAACCAACGTTCTTCAAGGGACGCGAACCGTTTCGGTGTGTTTTTTACAGCTATAAAATGACGAGGAGTGGAACATGCCTTTTTCATCAACCTAATTAAGAATCTACGATCCAGAATTGGAAATTATGAGTTTTGAGAAGGTGCATCGTTTGGAGGAAGGTCAAATATATTCTGGAGTGAGTAGTTTTTTGATAAGATACTTGTTTTTGGCGCAGTACGGGGGGGGGAGAGGGGAGAGGGAGCATTTTGCACTTTTGCTACTTCCCATCGACGTGTCGACCCATCTAGACAGCCTCTTCTCGAGTTGACAGGTTTTACCATGATGGCTTGACGAGCTTGCTCCAGCTTCACAAGAGTTCACAGGTTTCACCAGAGTGAGACTTGTAAACCGGAACTAGTGAAGCAACGAAAGTGCGAAATGCCCCTTCCGGTCGCCGAACAGCGCCCTTGTTTCCTACACAACCTAAACTTTTTGCAGGGAAATATCGAAGATCTGTCAATTCGTGCTGGTTTCAAAAACAAGGGTGTGCTCTATTTCGGTGACCACATTTACACTGACTTAGCAGATCCAATTCTGAGGTACCTCCACTGCAAATTTCATTGCTCTTCCGCTGGAAAGAAAACGACCTTTGGTGTGGATTTTCTTTTTACCCTACTAAATCTGTTTTTTATAGGTTGGGATGGCGTACGGCGGCTGTCGTACCTGAACTGGCACGAGAAATCAGAGTGCAAAACGACGATACCTATCAGTTAGTATTGCATTAAATTTGAAATCTATGGGTGACAGATTTAATTTTTTCGAGAAATTTAGGGAAATTATACAGTGGTTGGCTATGCTCACTGCAATCATAGAAGTGTACAGACCAGATTCCTTACAAGATCCTGATGCAGCTAGTGTAATAGAGGAGTGGCAAGATGAAAGAAGTCGTTACAGGTATGACTACTATTTGTGGCGAGCGGAGTCATATAACATGAAGGTTGAGCACGATCCATTGAACGTCTATTGGGCGGTAACATATGGAAGGAAAGACCGGCCCTCTGTCTTTGTGTCCTTCCCTTCAAAGGCGACTGTGCACTCAATTCCGGTGAAGGACCTTTCTATGCGCGAGATGAATGGTTCTGCAGCTGCAGTAGAATGTAACCTTCTCCGCACAATAGTGCGCGGGGACATAGCTGGAGGGTAGTGATAACCGAGTGTCTTCTCTATACTCCGCCTGACTATTCTGAGTGTGCAGCGTTTGCGTTGACACCAAAATATCGCAGCAAACACGCAGTCGGTGGTGAACAGCAAGAGGTGGGAGGACGGAGCTATGTAGTGCTTTTCTAGCGCGTTTGTCTGCGGTGAGGCGTGCGCCTAGCGGTGCGGTGGCGCGGGCGGAGTATGGAGACGTGCACGGGTATCGCTCTCATCTACTGCCGTTCCCTTACATTTTTGAGCG